TCGTTCGTGCTGTGCCGTTCTGTGTTGTGGTGTGGTGCGTGTTTAGTGGGTGTGTTTGCGTGTTGCGGGGAACCTGTGCGTGCTATTCTCCCCTCCGTGTCCTGTGCAGGACCGGCCTCGTGGCCGTGCGGGATCTGCTCTGCTCTGCTCTTCTGATCTCGGATGGCGATGTGCGCAGTACCAGGACGGGGATGGGGGTTCGAGGCCCTAACGGGCGAGGACTGCGACAAGTGCATCGTCACAGTGATGTCAATCGGAGGGAGTCCGTGGCGCCCCGCCGAGCTCGAGAACGGAGAGCTGCCCAGGGCGACAAGGCGGGAGGCCGCAGAGCGAGGGGATGCCACCACGAGGAGGGCGCCTCCTGGCTTCCGCGACGGTGGCGATGCCGATTTCTCGTTGCTGCTGCTCCTCGCTGCTGCTCCTCCTCATCCTCCTCTTCCTCCTCCTCTTCCTCCTCCTCCTCCTCCTCTTCCTCCCCCTCCTCCTGGACTCCTCCTCCTGGACTCCTCCTCCTGGACTCCTCCTCCTGGACTCCTCCTCCTGGACTCCTCCTCCTGGACTCCTCCTCCTCCTCCTCCTCCTCCTCCTCCTCCTCCTCCTCCTCCTCCTCCTCCCTCCTCCTCCCCTTCCTCCTCCTCCCTCCTCCTCATCCTCCTCCTCCTCCTCCCCCGGGCGCGCAGGAAGCGGGTCCTGCAGGGAAGCGGATCTTGCACGGCAGGCGGGGCAGGCGTCGGCCCCTCCCCCCGTCGGCGCCTCCTCCCTCCCCTCCTCCCCCCCTCGGTCCTTCCTCTTCCTCTTCCTCCCCTCCTCCCTCCTCCTCCTCTCTCCTCCCTCTCCTCCCCTCCCTCCTCCTCCTCCCTCCTCCCCTCCTCCTCCCCCCCGTGGTCCTCCTTCTCTCCTCCTCCTTCATCCTCCTCCTCCTCATCCTCCTCCTCCTCTCCCCCCTCTCTTCCTCTTCCTCCATCCTCTTCTCTTCCTCCTCCTCCTCGTCCCCTCCTCCTCTCCTTTCCTCCTTCCTCCTCCTCCTACTCCTCCTCCTCCTCTTCCTCCTTCCCGAGCCCCAGCCTGCGGGGCCAGGGGCGACTTCGGGCTGCCCCCCCCCCCCCGTACCAGAGACCTTAAGACTTCCCAGACAGGATCGCGTCCTAATCAAACCAGCACGGGATGTTTTTGGCTATTTTGGGCCCCAGGGGGCCGTCGCCGGGCCTCGGGACCGTCAAACAACGACTCGGGACGAAAAACCGGTCTCGGGGAACGGGTCGGGGATTCCATGGACGCCGTCCTGAAAGAATCGGGACTTCGCATGTCTGGGTTCGTTCCTCGGATGCTCGTCTGCGGACGTTCCTTGAGGCCCACCTCGTGAATCTGTTCGACTCCAGCTTAGACTCGAGACGACCCAGCTTCGACTCGAGTCGGCGGACGTTCGGCGCAGCATCGACGCATGAGTGGAGCGAGTTGCCCCCAGCATGATCACCAGGACGAGCATTTAACGTTTCCCTCCTGACCCGTTGCCCTCACCATAAGCAAATTCCTGGAGGTCTTGCGCGGCGCGCAATGGTTGTATTATGTCGTTCACACGTCCGCCCCGTTAGATCTTGGACGACGTTCGCACGGCGATGTCCTTCACGAGCCCGCCGTGAAGCCGACGTGAATCCGACGCACACCCGACGTGAATCCGACGTGGTTCCGACGTAAGCCGGGCCTCACGAGAGGAAACGGGTACCCATGCCTCTACCCCTCCCTCGCGTTCCCCAATTTGGAGCCTCACGGGCGGCCCTCGTTGCCACGGCTGGACTCGCCTCGAGATCCGAGTCAGAACGCGCCCCGGGAGAGGTCTGGGGGTAATTAGCGGTATCAGTACCGGTTGGTTTCCCTGGGGTCTCAAGTTGCCGCGCGAGGCCTCCGGGGTGTCCCCCATGCGGTCAGGAGCTCTGGCTCAGCGTGTCGCTCCGCCGCCTCCAGCCCCTCTCGCCGCGGCGCGGCATGCTGCCCACTCCCTGACCTCCCGTCCCGCGGAGCGGAGCGACACCCTAGTCGACTACAAGGTGACCCGTCGCCGGAGTGACCTTGGGTGCGGGCCCACTGGGGTCTCTCGATCGCCGAGAGCGATACGGCAGTAGCGTCTTGCGCCCTCGTGTTCGGTCCCCCGCGGCCCCCAGGAGGCCGCCCACCAGAGGTCGCTCTTGCGTGTAGCCGAGCTGGCCCCTCGGAGGGTGCAGCGTGCCGCCGGGGCCGCCGCCACGCCTCGCTGAGCAGAAGCGCCCGCGTGTGACCTCTCGCGGCTGCCGCCTCTTCGCCGCCCAGCGAGCGGCCTGGCGGCCGCGCCGGCCGCCTCGCCGGGAGTCAGCGCGGGGGGACGCCGTGGCCCTGTTCCTGCGCGGCGCCCGGCGCTGCGCCGCCGCGGCAGCTCAGCTGCCCTGATGCGTCCGTGTTGAGGCGCAGCGCGCGCCGTGCTCAAAGCGCACGAGCCAGCACACTGCGCAGTGGCTCGGCACGTGCGGGCCCACGTGGCGGCGGAAACGTTCGCGCCACACGTGCTCGTTCCGTCTGCGTGTTGAGTTTCGTGCCAAGATGTGGAAGCGCACCTCGTTTCGACGCTCGTGTTCCTATAGGTTCAGCGTTGCACATCACTTGGGTTTCACAGTTGCCCTTGGCGTTCAGCTGCGACCGAGTTCGTGATCGTGACTGCTGCAATCATACGTCGGCTCAGGCTCATAACACCTCCTTGCCATCGGTTCGGCTGCCGCAGATGGGCGTTGCGTGCTGCGTTTGGCGCATCCGGGCAGCGGAGGCGGGCAGGCCCACGTCCCCAGGCAGGATATGAACGCGGAGCAGTGGCGGGCCCGCTGGCCATCGGGCGTCTCGCGCCGGGGCTTCCTTCGGAACTCTGTCGGGCGACGAGATCTATACATATCCACTGCTCCCTGGCCAGGCCCATCCTGAACCCAGGAGCTGTGTATACGCCCTCCTGGCCAAGCCAGGAGGGCCTCGCGTATATACACCGCTGCCGGGCTCACGATGGGCCTGGCCAGGGAGCAGTGGATGTGTATAGACTTCGTCGCCCTACTCTGGGCCTCCCGCAGGGGGTCGGGGCAGGCGGGGTCGGAGGATCGCGCCGCATCGCCTGGGCAGCGGCGAGGCGGATCGATGCGGGGCCCGACCGCGTCCGCGCCAACGACGCAGGTGCATGGGTGCTGCGTCGGCGATGCGGCGCGATCCTCCGGCCCCGCCGATTCGGGCCAAATTTGCGAGGCCTCTGTCCTCCATCAGTCCCGCAATAGCTTCAAGGATATGGTTTTGTTCTCAATGCCGCATTCTGCCCTCGATTCCGGCACCCGTGGCCTCGTTGTCGGAGCGCAGGGCCACCAAAAACGGGTCCAGGGCGCAAAGCCACAGCTGGGGAAGGGGTCGGGACCTCTGCAGGGCCACGGATTGAAAAACGATATCGGAGGTTGTCTGGGCCCACAGCTTCCCCTCGACCTCGGCCTCCCAGGCCTGCGAGCCCTGCCCCTGGTCTCAACGAATTTGGGGTATATCGGGCACTCCCGCTGGGGTTCACCCGGCGGCTGGCGTCCTCCGTGTTTGGAGGCTTCGGCAGTGCTTCTGAAATTTGGCCTACCTGGAGGTCGGGTTCACATGCGGCTGCTCGTGGGCGAAAAATAGATGCGTAGCCGCGGCCTCGCGGGCCAGGCCTCTGGGCCGCGACCCCGCGGATACGGGTTATGTTTTCGCGGATGCCCCTCGCGGAACGTAACCGTGCGACCACGTATCCAGGGTATCGCGCCCCGCAATCCAGACCGCGTGGGCGCGGATACGGACAGATATGTTCGCCGCCCGCGAGTTGCCTCCCATGGGTCCCGCTTTCCGGCCCGGGGCCTCCGAAAGGCGGCTCCGTGACGGCAGGCAGATCCTGGGGGAGGGGACCGAGACCTTTGCAGGGCCCGCGGGCTAGAGAGGTCACGGCATCCGATGTCCGGGGCGGGAGGTGTTCAGAGCACACCTCGGGGGGCCTTTTGCGTCTCCACGGTCGCCACCGCCTCCGACTCCCGCACCGCAGTCGTCGATGCCCCCGCCGCAGCTGCCGCCGCCGCCGCCATGTTCGCCGTCTGTGCTGCTGTCGTCGCCGCTGCCGCCACGGTTGGACCCGTTCGTGGCAAAAATCCAATATGCACCGCGTGAGAGGTCTGGAATTTACCGTCTTCGTCGTCGTCGCTGTCGCTGTCGCTGTCGTCGTCGTCGTCGTCGTCGTCGTCGTCGTCGTCGTCGTCGTCGTCTGACACTCACTTATGGAGAACATTGATTGTTGATCTATTGGGAACAGTTCTGGACACTTTCTCCTCGACGTCGGCCCCGCTTTCTTCGGAAGCGAGGCTCCTGCAGGAGCGCGGGCTTGGCTCTAAATTCCAGCTTTCATGCGACAACAGCTCCCGCTCGGTACTCTGTCACAAGTTACCTGAGAGGCACCTTGGCCAGAGAAGTCCGCACATTCAGAGATGGCGCTCTCGCTCGAGACTTGCTCGGAAACATTTTTATGAGGTCTGTGAGGGCTCAACTGATTATGACGATAACGGCTCTTGCACGACACATCCTCACCATTCATCCAGAGCCGACCTGGACAGACACGTCCTAGGACTCACGAGTGGCTCTCTCGCCAGAGACTTCATGATTTTTGCCCAGGTTGGCGAAGCATCAACGACGCCCGCTCGACACGGGCTGCCTGAACGCTCCTGACCATTTGGTTGTTCACCGAGCTTTGCCACTCTTTTTCGCTGGGTCTGCATGATCATTGGTTCACGAAGAGCAGCAGCCCTCTCCCACTCACGCACTTTTGTCTTCCCGGCGACAGCGTCGGAGTGGCTGGGGAATGGATGGATCAGGCGGGCGGAAGGCAATGGCAGACCCTTGTAGGCCACCTCTCGCCCTCTGCGAGAGTCGGCTTGGCGCTTGACGCCCTCCGGCACCGTCGTGCGCTGGCCCACCCGCCCCTCGTCACCCCTCCTCCCACCCGCAGCCGCTCTGGCCCAGGCAAGCCGCCCGAGCTTGGGTAGGGGGCCACAGGCGAGCCCTGCCCCCTACCCCCCACGATTTCGGAGGGGGAGGGTGGGGTGAACTCCCTTCGGGAGCTCCCGAGCGGAGCGAACCCCACCCTCCCCCTCAGCACTCGTGGGGGGTAGGGGGCAGGGCTCGCCTGTGGCCCCCTTATTGGGGAGGGACGCCGGCTCCCCGCCGCACCCCCGCCGCCCTGCGCCCCGACCTCGCGGCCCCCCCCCCCCCTTGTCGGAGGGCACCAGCCGCACGCCTGCACCGACCCGGCCTGAGGCCGACCCCGGGCTCCCGGGGCCCAGGGGGGGCCCCTGGCCAGGCCGAGCAGCTGCTGCCAGGAGGGAGACAAAACACACACAGACACAAGTGATCGCCGACTCCCAGGATAATAGATGGGAAAATATGGGAAGTGTGTGGGGGGGAAGACAAAAGCCCTGAAAGTATGGGAGAATGTGGGGAATCCTGTTGTTCGTGTGTATCCATTTGTGTGTCCCAGGGCCCCTTCATCTTTGCGTGGAGGGCAAAGGGTGAAATCTGAGATGCCGTTTCGATGGGTTTTCGAGACTTGAACCTGCAGAAGGAGAACCACAAGACGCATTGGTTTTCGAGGTGACAAAGCCCATATGGATGTCACCTCCACCCTCAGAAAATGCTCAGCCAGGTCCGGTGCAGGTGCCCAGATCCCCGACGCGGCGAGATCTTGCTCGCAGCGCTTCGACCCCCATGAAGGCCTCGGCCCGTTCCCCGGCACCGGCTGCTTCTCCTGAGCCTTTGCTGTAAGTCGGGCCTACCCCTCTACAGGAGGAACATTCCCAACTGTCCTGTGGTGTTGGGTCCTCGTTTTGAAGGAAAGAGCGCGTTCTGTCGTCGCTTGGAGGGGGGGGGGGTTGGAACCGGACCCCCCCCTGGATGGAGAGGGGGGGGAGTTCGAACCCCCCCCCCCTCCCCCCTCTCTCCCGTGACGGAAGGGGAGGGCGAGTTCAAACCCCCTTTTTCCTCCCGTGACGAGGGGGGGTGTTTCAACCCCCCCCCCCCTTCCCTGCTTCCCCTCTCCTCGGGCTGGCGCTTGCGTCGGCGGCGGCTGGCGACGGCGGCGGGGACGACGATTTCCATTTCTGGGCCTGCGCCGGCCGGCACTTGCGGCGGCGGGCGGCGGTGGCGGGGAGCGTCGACGAGGACGACGGTGGTGGTGGTGGTGGTGGGTCGTGGTGGTGGTGGTGGTGGTGGTTGTGGCGGTCGGTGGTGGTGGTGGTGGTGGTTTGGTGGTGGTTTGGTGGTGGTGTGGTGGTGGTTTGTGGGAGTGGTTGTGGTGGTGGGTTGTAGTGGTGGTGGTGGTTTGGTGGTGGTGTGGTGGTGGTTTGGTGGTGGTGGTGGGTTGTGGTTATGGCGGTGATTTGTGGAGGTGGTGCTGGTGGTGGTGGTTGCGGTGGTGGTGGTGGTGGTGTGGTGGTTTGAGGTGGTGGTGGTGGGTTGTGCTGCTGGGAGTGGTTGTGGCGGTGGTGGTGGTGGTGTGGTACATTGTTGTGGTGGTGGTAGTGGTGGTGGGTTTTTGTGGTGGTGGTTGTGATGGTGAGTTGTGGTGGTTGTGGTGGTGGTGGTTTGTGGTGGTGTGGTGGTGGTTTGTGGTGGTGGTGGTGGTGGGTTGTGGTAGTGGCGGTGGTTTGTGCACGTTTGTTGTTGAACTCTAATTCTTGAAGAATAATTATTGTTGATCCCCCCCCACCGGTGCACATTGATTTTTTTTCCGATTGAAGTGCCACCCCCGGGGCTCGCACTTTGTTTTTTCTCAAGGAAAGTCTTCCTGCTTAAACTGTGCCCCTGCCCCCCGGGCTACAACAACAACGGCTCCCGCCTGAGACTTCCTCGGTTTTTACTCAGGACCCCCGTTCCCGCCTGAGACTTCCGCGCAATTTACTCAGGAAAGGCGCTCCCGTCTGAGACTTCCTCGCAATGTAATCAAGACCACCGCTCCCGCCTGAGACTTCCGTGCAATTTTCGTGGGAACGGCGCTCCCGCCTGAGACTTCTTTGAATTCTACTCAGGACCCCCGCTCCTGCCTGACATTTCCGCGCAATTGACTCAGGAACGGCGCTCCCGCCTGAGACTTCATCGCAATTTAGTGAGGACCCCGGCTCCCGCCTGAGACTTCCGTGCAATTTGCTCAGGAACGGCGCTCCCGCTTGAGACTTCCTCGCAACGTAGTCAGGGCCCCCGCTTCCGCCTGAGATTTCCTCACAATGTGCTCAGGACTGCGCTCTCGCGTGCGACGTCCTCGCAAATTCTTCTGGAATTGCGTTTCGGCGCTCAGGAACCACGCACGCGCCAAGGACGCCTTCACAACGTGGTATCTTCCCTCTTCCTTCGTCCTTCCCCCTCCCCTTCCTCCCACTCTCCCTCGTTCTTCCCCTCCTCCTCTTGCAGGGCCCGCGCCAATTCCAATGGCGGGCAGAGAAATGTACGCCCCCGAAGGATTGTCCGCCCGTTCCGGTTTGCCCGTACGTCTAAGCCCGCCGGCCCCAGCAAAGAGAAATAATCCCCCCGAAAGGGGTGTGATCGAAGACGAAGAGGGCGGGCATCGAGGGTGTAGGGTATACGTGTTGAATGACTCGCGGGCAAGTAAGAGCGTACAGCCTTAAAATGGTTGTTGTTGTTGTTGTTGTTGTTGTGGTGGTGGTGGTGGTGGCGGTGGTGGTGGTGGTGTGGTGGTTTGTGGTGGTTGTGGTGGGTTGTGCTGCTGGTAGTGGTTGTGCCGGTGGTGGTGGTGGTGTGGTAGATTGTTGTGGTGGTGGTGGTAGTGGTGGTGGGTTTTTGTGGTGGTGGTGGTGGTGATGGTGAGTTGTGGTGGTGGTTGTGGTGGTGGTGGTGGTGGTTGTGGTGGTGGTGGTGGTTGTGTGGTGCTGTTGGTGGTGGTGGTGGTGGTGGGTTGAGGCGGTGGTGGTGGTGGTAGTGGTGGTGATCGTCGCTGCGTCCCCGCCGTCGCCGGCGCGAGGGGGGGGGTGGACCCCCCACCCCTCCTGGCGCCAGGGGGGGGGGGCGGTTGAGCCCCCCCCCCTTCTTTGAGCTGCCTCTGGTGATCGTCGCTGCGTCCCCGCCGTGAGCGTTGCTGGCGGCCGCCAGCGGCGCCGGCGCCGGCGCCATGGCCGAGGGGAGGGGGGTTTGAACCCCCCCCCCTCTTTGGGAGGGGGGGGGAGGGGTTCGGGAGGGAGGGGGGTTTGGGGGGGAGGGGAGACCTTCCGGTTTTGACTGTCGGCGCCGAGTGTTTTGGGGGGGGGCCCTCCTTCGGTTTGAAATGCGACGCTGGATGTTCCCAAGGCAAGCGCCCGTGGAACGCTTTCTCTCTTTTGAAGGGACGGTCCCCGCGTTCTCCTCTGTCTCCTCCTCCTCCTCCTCCTCCTCCTTTCCCCTCCTCAATTATCATCATCATCGTCATCATCATCATCATCATCATCAGCATCAGCAGCAGCAGCATCATCATCACCCGTTTCAGCACACCCATCGCACGCTTCGTGGCCCCATAGGGAGCCCCACCGAAGGCTCCAATGTCACCATCCGCATGCGTCCCACACGCCCAGTACAGCGTTTCGTGGCCCTTTCCAAGAACCACTTGCAACAAATGAGGCGAAGTACACACGCGCGCGTCGTCGCGCGCGCATGCAGGAATCCTTCAAAAACCTGCGGCTTCGGAAGGATTTCGCAATCGAATGTTCAAAAGGCATACAACAACATAGTGATTCGCAACACGGGTTTTCAACAAAAAAATGTGCGCGCGTTCGTACGACGTCTGAGGAAAACCATAGGTGCTTCAACATTCTCATAACATGCTACCACACGGGCTTCGCGCGCGCGCGCATGTCGAAATCTTTCGAACGCCTTTGCGCGCGTCTGGGGGGCACGGTCCGTGTTCACTCATACCATGCGGGCCACTCTCGCGCGTCTGCCGCGCGCGCATGCCGAAACCATTCCAAAACCTTCATCACCGACGCGACGACGCCGTCATCGTCGTCGGCGTGATTGGCATGGGCGCCTTCACTGGCTGCCCCGTTGTCTCTGCCAGCATCGTCACCAGTATCGCTACTACCATCTTCGTGTCTACCGTCGTCG